TTAAGAGAGTTATACTCTCCTGGAATAAGGAGCTGATAGTCTTAGTCACAGAATCCTGCCCCAAAAATGCACAGATGGTTAATTTTGTTTCTGTTCTGAACACTACATTTTTAAAAGGTCATTGATAAACTAGTGAATATCCAGAGGGAGTTGTCTGGCTTGTTGAAAGCTTGAAGTTAGGGCAGTTTGATGTCTAATGATTTAGAATATTCAGCATCTATTATAACCAGGATGTGAAAACAAGATGCGATGTGTTGCAGTAGAAAGAGCTTTGGATTTGGATTCAAAGGACCATCCATTCAAGTCCCAGATCTGACACCTGTATCACATTAAACCAGTCATTTCACTTTTCAGGTTGCCCATCTTGAAATATTTTTCATAGCACTATCCCTCTTCCTGTTAGCTACACCCAATGACTTTGAAATGATTTTCTCAGTTTCCCCATTAAGTGAATTACTTTAGGGGTGCACATACTCCCTCCAAATTAAAAGTGGCATATCCAGGTTAGAATTACCCTCACTCTACCTGTATTGACATTTTTCTCACAGGCCTGGTGAAAGCTGATTTATCTCTTTGCAGCCACCATCAAAATCACTTTTCCCCCACTAGCTTCAACTACCTGCTCATATATTCCAAAAGGTGACAGTGTTTAAAGGGTTATATATATGTTCATATTGTTACACATATTTTATACTTATACTTAATACAATTTTTTTGCAGAGCCAAGAATTTTCAATTTAGTAGAATCTGTGGAGATCATCTTGTCCAACTTATTATTCTTTAGGAAAATTTACACAAAATAAGTTTTTCATCCCACTTATATATAATGTATGAGTAATTATTTTTCCTTGAAAATTTGGGGCTTAAAATAAGTTATTCACATTTCCTAGTCTTCTCTTTTATGCTTACCACATTACATCTCTACTTCAATTACCCCTCTCTATGAAATTTTAAGGTCTATGTCTTTTACCCTCAGTGTGAAGCACTGTACCTTGCTTATATTAAGTTCTCAATAAAACTATGTTGAAATATAAGGATAAATGAATACAAATATTATTTATGTGATTACTATGTTCCAAGAACTATAAATAGAAAAAAGCTAAACAGCCTTTGTTTTCAAGGAGCTCGTGTTCTAATTGGGGAGAAAACATATAAGAACAGGTCCAGCTATAGGCAGATTTCAGAGCTTATAATTCCAAAATCCTGTCCATAGTCATAGCACAGAGGGCAGTGGGCAGGGAGTAGGGGAGAGGAATGGTAGGATTGGGAGAAAGGAAGAGAGAGTAGAAGCAGGGGAGACTGTAAGAACTGTAGTACCTTAGGATGCAGTGGCAGGGCAGATTTTAAATTGTAGTATTCCTCCAAATCATTGGATGAAGATGGGTTAGTGAATTCCACTTTACCTAAGCAGCCAAGACATACCAGCAGGAAACAATCTAGATGGGTTCTAGGAAAGACAAGGGGAAAAAAGAGTGTGTAGATGAGCCCCTGCACCATTGAAGACGAGCCTTCTTAGTAGCTATCTCAGGTTGGTTGAACTTATCAGAATTAGGGTAATAATTCTTTTCACACAAATGGAACTATCAACCTATAGTGATTCCAGGCTGGAATTCATCATAATTATCAACAACTATGATATTTTAGACTACTAGGCTTCAGTATTAAAAATACTTTAAAAAAAAAAAGATCTTTAACCTAGTCAGTTTGAGTGCATCCTTCAGAAATGCAAATAGCAGTCCTTCTATGCCTCCTCATCCATATGACTCATATTCCTGTCCTTCCATAGACACTATAGAAGATCTTTCCAAAATACTATAGACTTTTTGCTGTTTTAGCATTTGGGCAATGCCAGCACAACATGTAGGCTGTCCATCTCTTGCCCCTCCTTCCTACTATTATACATGGATTTTTTGCCTCCTTTTCCATCCATACATGTACTTAAAGATAGTAACTTTTTAATATCAATCTTCTTCAAGCATGTCCTTATTACTTTTGCCATTAGACTTATCGCCACCACGTGTCTCTCCAAATACCTTTTGGTTATCTGAAGTATGAATCCTTCCATGACTGTGTTCTTTGCACTCTGTAATTTGTACCTGTAGTGTCACAAGGAAATTATTTGTGATAAAATAGAGATCTTTTGCAGCCGAAGGCAGTTGAAGATCATGGAGAGGCCAGCAGAGTTCTTGGGTATGATTCAAGAGCTATGGACCTATAGTCATAGAATGCAGCCCAGTTCAAGATGAAATTGTGTATCTGATTTTATGGCAAATTACCTTAAAACCATAGAGGTCTAGAAGCAAGAAAGATGGCTTTAGCCACTTAATTCACGTGGAGAATTTAATGTCTGCCTATCACAGTCACACTGAGTGGAGATAACTGGGGTCATGCCTTCACTTACATTCAAAGAAAAGCATCATGCATTTTTTTCTCTGTTTTTGCTATCTCTGTTCCATCCTTGCCCTCATTGTGACAATAAGAGACCAAGAGATTGGGGGGGGCAACATGGTTCATAAAGAATTTAAAATGTAGAAGAACCATGGAGTTTCTCTAGTTGCTGTAAGTATTGGAGACACATCCCAAACCTTGAAACCATGAAAATACTGAAATTGTATCCCTAGATTCTGGAATGCACGCTATGTTTTGAGTCAGAGCAGCTGGGACCAAATCTGATACTTATAGCTAGTAGAGATAGGTAGCAGAATGGATACAATGCTAGGTTATGATTCAGGAAGATCTGAGTTCCAATTGGCCTCAAATACTTACTAGCTGTAAGTAGCTGGATGAATCATTTAAGTAAATCTGACTCAGCTTCATCAATTGTAAATTGAGGCTAATAATAGTATCTACTTTCCAGGATTGTTGTGGGTATTAAAGAGGTAATATTTGTAAGAATGCTTAGTTTTACAAGTTAAATGGGTGCTTAATAAATGCTAGTTTCTTTCCTTCCTTCCTATCTGTTGGATTTTGGGAATGTCACTTAATATCGTTGTGCCTCATTTTCCTCATCTGCAAAATGAGGCTGTTAGAGTAGGTCCCTTCCACCTCTAAACTTATGATTCCTTCTTGGAAGAGGAGAAATTAGACATTCTTGTGGAATGGCTATCACTTAAGGTTTTGAGGATTTGTGTGTGTGTGACTTGAGTTCATTACATTTTGCCATATTTCTCTTATGTGATTGAGTGCAGATCTCTCATAATCATGCAGTTTTTTCTTTCTTTTCTTTTTAAAGAATTAATTTTTACTTTTTAGCATTCACTTTTATAAGATTTTGAGTTGTAAATTTTTCCCCCTCTCACTTTTCCCCCTCCCTAAGATGGCATGCAATCTGTTATAGGCTATATATGTACAATCATATTAAATGTATTTCCACATTAGTCATGTTGTGAAAGAAGAATCAGAATAAAAAGTGAAAACCACAAAAACAACAACAACAACAACAAAAAGAAAATTGCATGCTTCAATCTGCATTCAGACTCCATAGTTCTTTCTCTGGAAATGGACAGCATTTTCCATCATGAGTCTTTTGGAATTGACTTAGGTAATTGCATTGCTGAGACGAGCTAAGTCTATCAAAGTTGGTCATTGTACAATGTTTATGCAGTTTTTTTTTTCTAACTCCTCTCAAGAAACTGGTTATTACTTGAAAAGTTGTCTGATCTTCCATTTAACATATTCTGTAGTTTTTTCTTCATCAAATATTCCTTAGTTTCTGATTATATGCAGGTTTTTGTGTTTGTTTTGTTTTGTTTTTGGGGTGTGTGTGTGTGTGTGTGTGTGTGTGTGTTGACAATGACTTCTATTCAAGAGCTTTCTGGCAACTAATAAATTTTCTTTTGACACCTAAGATACCATGTAAACAGAGGCATGGTCATTTGAAACTCTAATTGACAATAGCAAGAGACATAGATTTAGACTAGGGAATGAATATGCCAATGGCAGGCTTTAGTAAGGATGGAATATGAGAGTCAAAACACCACTGAAGTCTTTAATGATACTTCAGAACTCTTAAACAAACATGTAATACTTACTCAGTGGAATTTTGCTTAAAGGTCCCTGTCATGAAGCTACATTTTAGTAAGTCAGTCTCTTTAGACAGGTATCCCCCTAACCCAAACTATATGGTGAATCAACACTAAATTGGCATGTGTCAAGTACCAGCAACTGCACAAGACTAAAATGGGAGGAGCAGAACATAGGGAGAAGAATAAAGGGAAAGAGTAAAGGGTGGAAAGAAGACAAGGAAAAGAGATGGGTGCAGCTTGGTGGCACAGTGGATAGAGCACCAGCCCTAGAGTTAGGAGGACCTGAGTTCAAATTTGACCTCAGACACGATACTCACTAGCTGTGTGACCCTGGGCAAGTCACTTAACCCCAACTGCCTCACCAAAAAATAAAAATAAAACAAACTCTAAACTATAAAAAAAGAGATAACAGGAAAAGGAAGAGAAAGGGAAGAAGAAGAGAGAAGAAAGTGAAAAAATTGAAGGAAAAGAGGACTAAGTTTATGAAAAATAAGTGTAGAAGAAAATGGAGTTAAGAGAAGAAGGAATGGGAAGAGAAAAAAGAGAAGAGGAGCCCGGTTTTTTTATTTATTGGTTTTAAAAAATAATAACCTTTCATAGTTAAACTTTGCCCTGGACACTGTGGGGCCACACACTGGTAAATGATTCCTCTGTTTTCTCTTGGCTAAAACACTGAGATCTTAAAATCACATGCATACATTTGAAGATTAAAAAAAATATTTTTGTCACTTCCTTAACTCGGCTGCCTTTATCTAGAAGTTTGAGGGTTCAGAATTCAAATTACATTTGTCTTATGAAATGTGGTTACTTTTGGAATCTTTGAATCATTTTTACATATGGTAATGTATTCACTAAAAGTAAGCACTTGTTGGCTAGACAATGTGTCTCTCTCCTTGTTTTCTACAAGATGTAACTTGAAAATATACTTGAAAGCCTCTTTTAATTCCTACCATTCTATGTGACACTGTTTTAAAGGAAACCTGAAGAAACAGCTCATGCATTTGCCAATCCGATGTATGAAGATGGGAGTCGTTCAGAGAAAACAGAGGTAGGTGGCAGTGAGGCCTATATTGTTTCAGTGATGGAAAATCTAAAATCACAATATTGTTCTTACATGTTTCCACATCACAAATGAATAAAGATCTTTTGTGGAGTTGTTTGAATAAGGAAAATGAAGATTCCAATTTCTCTAAATTCCCAATGGGACATTTTTGGCTCTAATATATTCTCAATATGCTAGTAAAGTCAGCTCAGTGTTAAGTGACTGTGGTTACTGTTCAGATTCAAACAGTGCTGACAAATCTGGAAAATATCAGTTTAAGCCACAGAGTATTAGTCAGCTATTCACAGCAAATGTCCATTGGATGTCCTCCAGTTTTTTTTTTTTTCTAACCCCCAAAGTAATAAAGGGAGAAAATGTGTTCAACAGATATACCATTCTTATTTAAGTTCAACTCTATAGAATGAGGTCAGTTACCTAGATAATCGCTCAGAAGGAAGGGGTAGAAAAAGAAATTAAAGTGTGTAATATCTACCTAGTCTCAGAGGCCACCTCTTATCAGTGTGATAAGAATTAGGCGAGAAAGGCAATGGCAAAGAAAATTTCTTATCCTTTCCTAAAGCAATTAATTTGAGATTCCACTTGAGCATTAAATAGGATTAGCCGTGACACATCACTTAGTTTCCATAAAAAGTTTCTTCATATCAGATTTTAGACACTAGATCAGCTTCATTCTATTACAAACTTGAGCCTATAGAAACCCCAAGTTTGAATCTGTGACCATTTTTCTCATGTTGGTTGGCCCTGTGTGATTACACTTGAGTGATCTTGTCCTTGTTGTTGAGTCATTTTTCAGTTGTTTCTGACTCTTCATGACCCCATCTGGGGTTTTCATGGCAAAGATACTGGAATGGTTTGCCATGTCTTTCTCCAGCTCATTTTACAGGTGAGGAACTGAGCCAAACTGAGCCAAAGTGACTTGCCCAGGGTCACACAACTAGTAAGTGTCAGGCTTGATTTGAACTCATGAAGATGTCTTCCTGATAGAGCCCAATGCTCTATCCACTGCACCACCTAGCTGCCCATTTGAGTGATAGTAAGCCCTTGCTTATCTAGAGATTGAAATAAAGAAGATTTTGTGCTAGATTATACATTTTTTTCTGGGCAGTTTGCTGAGCCTTAGGCATTGCAATTGAAACCCAGGGCAACTCTTGATTTCCTTTTCTCTTTGTTTCTTTCAAGAAAGAGGTGATATAGCTCTCAATAATTCTTTTTGTAGAAGTGAAAACAAAGGGTAAGATATTTCCCAGACCACGAAGTAAATTAACTTTAGGTGATTCATGCTGCCAATCAGGACATATGGTAAAACTGTAAGTGTATCCCCAGCCTAGAGATGAAAAAAACAAGAGCTAAATATTTTAGAAACTAACTTGAATGTACTTTCATTATTGAGCTGAGAGATATAGCATAAACATTTTTATTCTAATTGAGGAAAAAAGGAGAAAATTGAATCGCATTTCATCTTTAAATAAGTTTAACTTTCACCATCTGAAAAGTGCAAATGTTATGTTGAATCCAATCAGGTTCTTTCTTGGCTGGAATCGTGCTCTCTGAGATAATATCTAAAAAGTAGTCCCTGGTTAAAAATGTGGAGGTAATGCTACTGGCCATCTTTTGCAGGCTACAGGGAGTGCTGTCTTCCCAAGGGTACAAATCAGTGTCTCTCCTTGGCAAGAACACACAGAGGTATGTACCAAGAACACTTTTCAAGATGCTATCTAGTGTGTATACACAGCAGTCCATTTAACGACTGAAAGGAAGTGCAGATGTAATTTATTTTACTTTTCTGGCCAGCTAAAAGATTTCCAGCTGTCTTCCATTCTCTTCATTCCTTTCCTTAAGAATAGCAAGAGTTCTCGTCTCTATCTCCTGAGTTTTATTTCCTGATTAAGTTGCACCATTAAAAAAATAATTTGTATTAATTGAAACAAGGTAGCTCTATCTGCTGTCAAACAAAAGGTTTGATTTCTTTCATTGAGTATGGATTTAGATCTATTCTGTTTCTGCTTTTTCAAAGAAAAGATTAATTTCCTCATTTCTTTCCCTTTGTGTCCCTATGACACAGGAGAAAATTGACTATTTCAATATATATATTCTACTGAAAATGCCTTAACTTAAAAGATTGAAAGACAATGCTGTTATTATATAATCAAAAGGCCAAGGCTACTTACTCTTCACCTTTTTTGAATTAGCTTGTTGATATTGTGTCCAATATCATGGGATGGTTAGATCACTCAACTTGAAACAAGGAAAACATAGGGTTATTGATTTCAAGCTAGAAGGAACTTTTAGTACTTGTAAAATCTAGCCTCTTCATTTTAATAAACTGAGGCACAATGAAATTAATGACATCACACAGGTTCACATAGGTAGTAAATGTATGAGGTAGGATGCAAACCCAGGTGTTCTAGACTAGAAGCCATTCTCTCTATCCACTTTGCTATCTGGGCCCTAATGTTGCCTCTGATCCATAATGACTTTTTGCCTATAGGTAAACCACTTAACGTCATTGTCCCTAAGCAACTCATTAAGTATAAATTATAGATGAGAGGTGAAGAGAATGAAACCATAGGTCTAAACAGTCCCTTCTTTCTCCATCACACCCATCCAGAGAAAAGTTCCTTCAAATTAACTTTTTGCACTGTAAATGGTAGTAGAATTTCCTGTGCATGCTTGTAAAAACAGATCCCTCATTTATTACATAAAAAGTCACAATGAATGTCTTTACCTTTTATGTTCCTCATATTTCTCTGTCATGATTCCTGCATCTGATACAATGGACCACTCCAATTCTGAGGGTCAAGATATGCAACTTCCAAAATAAAAACAAATTTATCATTGCCCATGTAATACAACTGATCTAGAGATAAAAGCTGATAAAAGCAACACATAAGAAAATTCTCTGGCCTTTAAGGAATGTTCTACAGAATTCCAGAGCTTCTTCCTTGCCCAAAGGGCCCATAGCTGAGACCCAGATAAATTTTCCTGGGAGCAAAGTTAACTCAAACTGTCTGAGGTCGGGATCCACAGTATCTGGGTTCACACCAGCCAGAATCAGTTTTATGGGAAAATGGCAGTTAACTCAAACCTTCCCAGTTCCACTAATGTACCTGGCCGAAACATTATGTGGGCAAATGCATTCATTCAGGAAGGGCCAGCTTTAAGCCTCAGAGGAAAAAACAAAACAAAACAAAAACAAACAAAAAAAAGTGGTCCTCATTCATCTTCTTGGTGCCTTTACACTATCCAAACTCCAGCAAAGCTAGGGAAGGAAAAAGTAATTTCACAGCAGAGAATATGCTTCAGCAATGCCTTTCCACAAATCAACTGAGAGCATATAATCAGGAGGAGTCCTTAGAAACTAGACTCTCCCACCATTCAGTGCTTATATGTACTAAGTCATTTTGCAATATCTTAATGATTCTAATTGGAAAGCGAGATCAGAAGTTTTGCCTGTGCACTGCTCCTAACTTCCCAGTGCCTCAGCTCCCCTATCTGCACATCAAAGTTAACAGCACCTAACTCCACAGGGATGTCTGAAGTTGTGCGCTTTCTCTACAACCAACAGCTTCCCCAGTATCCAAATGGATGGCAGGCACGGCAGGTGCTTCCAGTGCAATATCCTTTTCAGAACAGGAATTATCCATTGCCTACTGCTTTCTGCTAATTCCTTCCTTCTTCCCTACTTCCTCCACCTGCTTCCCCCTCTCCAATCCCCCTCTCCACTTCCTTTCCCCTTCACAAATAGAGCAACACAATAAACCCAGTGACCAGGACACAGCTGTGAAGAGCACCATGAACTTCATTAGAGTAATTTTAGCTCAACTACTTAACGCGTCTCGTATAGATGACAGCGTCTTTGTTTGACCCTTATCCTGAAGGCTCCGCTTTCTCTAGAAGCTTTCTTTAAGGCCAAAACATAAGATGTTTTGCTTGGGCAGTAGATTATTTTCCCAAAGTAAAATCCATTTGGAAAAGAGTCACATTCTGGCTTGAATCTTTGAGATGGAGCTTGTTTTTACCGCTTGAAATTCTAACTCTTCAAATGTGTTTTTTCTCTCTTCAGAATTCTGCATATTCCTTTGCCAATCCTTTGTTTGGCACTACTTCAAGAAACCAGGAGAATATTTCTAATCATCTTCAATAGTCAAATAAAACACAATTAATTCAGTTGTTCAAGTTGATAGAAAATCCCAGTTTCTGAAATCGACTAGAAATGATATTGCATATAACGGTAATGAGCAAAAATGAATGAGATTGCTCATGTGAGCTGCAGCATTGAAAACCTTTTTATTGAGAATCATACATTTTCTGAAACCATTGTTCTGATCTTCATGCTAGCACAGGGTCAGATGGGTAACTATATTTTCATTACGCAAACAGCACAAATTCCAGTGTATTAATAAAAGTATTTCACTTAATAAAAACCAGCTTTCTCACTTTCCTGGTGTTTTGATTTTGTTGCTATCATTGAAAAAAAATGACAACCTTGAGCTATACAGAGACTTTAAAATGCTTATTTTGATGTTTAAAGGATCAGAGGCAAAGGGTGAACTGGCAAAGCATCCAAATAAGCTAAACCAACCAGATCAAAGCAATTTTAAGGGGGAATTAAGAGTCTCTGGTTCTGCATATTGGGGACAAATGAAGTCAATTAACATTCTATCCTTACCTTCTTAAACACTTAAAAGCTAATGCATAAATTTAACAGAAATTCTAAATGGAGGTGTATGTCTTTCTCCCAGGTGTTTGCTATTCATCACGTCCAAAACTTCTGACCTTGGAGAAATTTTCCCCCAAAGGGGATGGCAAGTGGGAAATTGGGGGGGGGTACGGTGGGGGGACAGGAGAAGTAGAATAACTAGTTTTTATTATATTAGTGTTTCAATGGATTGACGTCTCTCATAGCCTGGACCTCATTCTTGTAGATCCTGTATGTCTTCGAAAGTTGCTTTCATTCTGATCCACAACTGGTTCTCCCAAAGAAATAGATGAATGTATCAGCTTGAACCAACTTGATGAAGAAGTGGATATACAATAATGTCTTGCAAGGGAGAGAAGACTGATTACTGATACTGCTCCTGTTTCCTTTGCAAGAATTTGGGGGATTCATGAGACTTCTAGTTCCTCATTATGAAAGCCAGTGAAGTAGTAACTCAGATTGAGCAACAGAAAGTGGAAATCAGACAACAATTCCATACTTGTTCAGATTTCTTCTTGAAACCTAAATTGGTCTCTGTACTTTACAAAATTTTCAAATCAAATCATTTTTAAAATTGTGGAAAGTATTTTATTTTATTTTAAAAATACTTCTTATTGATGTTCTTCCTTTTTCTTATATTGCCACATCATGTAGCACAGTACTGGGCTTAGAGTCAGAAAGAGCTGAATACAAATTTAACCTCAGACACTTACTAGCTGTGTGACTCCTAGCAAGACATTTAACTTCTGTTTGTCTCAGTTGCCTCATTTGTAAAATGGAGATATTAACAACACCTACCTCATGCCCATTACAAAGATCAAATAAATAAAATAAAAATTAATAAAAATCAAATAAAAAGAATTTATTGGGTTTTTTTGTTTGTTTTTTGTTTTTTTTAAGCAATTGGGGTTAAGTGACTTGCCCAGGGTCACACAGCTAGTAAGCGTCAAGTATTTGGTCTGAGGCCATATTTGATCTCAGGTCCTCCTGACTTCAGGGCTGGTGCTCTATCCACTGCGCCACCTAGCTGCCCCCAAACAAAAGAATTTAGAACAGAAAGAGACCTTAGCGATCACAAATCTGTTCCCTCCCTGGAAATTATGAAGCTCTCCTAAAGGTGAACAATTATCTTGATGACTTTTGTGACTGGTGTTGATGTTAGCTATGGTAATAATAAGAAGAAGAAGAAGAATAACTAATTTATGTAATAATTAATTTAAAGTTTCCAAAGTACTTTATAAATGTTTCCTCATTTTCTACTCGTGAAAACCCAGGGACATAGATGCTATTATTATTCTCTTTTTACAGTGTACGAAGCTAAAGCTGACAGAGGTTAAGTGCCTTCCAGGGTCATACAACCAGGAAGTGTCAGAGGCCAAATTTGAACTCGAGTCTTCATGACTCCAGGTTCAGTATTCTATCCCTTGTGCCACTTAGCAATTATTATTATACAATATCACACATCATATATTATGTTATTATTATATAAGCCTTATTATTAAGGCACAATGGATCATAGACCTACAACTGGAAGGACCTCATAGGTCATCTAGTTCAACTCTTCCATATAATAAAGAAACTGAGGCCCAGAGAAATTAAGTGATTTGTTCATAATCACACAGTGTCAGAAATGGGATTTGAACTCAGGTCTACTTACTATCTATATGACTATGAAGTTACTTAACTCCTCTAAACCTAAGATTACCCTGTAAAGCAATAAGTTTAAGATACATTGCTACTTGTATTAAACATAATTCCTTGACATAGAATTTTAATGATGGTAATAATATATATTATTACATATTTACTTATACTTGTGTGGTGATTTAAGATTTTTTGAAGTGCTGTTATATACACAATCTCATTCCTCCTATGTTCGCTGACCAATTTCACATACAAATATTAATAAACACCAAAGTGATCAGAAGTTGGAAGAGAGTATAAAAAAAGAATCAGGTTCATATGGGTACTCTAGAATAAAATTTTGGTTCAATTCTCCTTGAATAAATTTCCCATTGGATAGAGAATTCTTTTTATAAGCAATGGAAAAATTCTGAGTAGAATGAGATAGAAATGCTGGGAGGATGGATAGGCACTGACTGATTGTTCTGAATTTCTAGGATCAACTTTATGTTAAAAAGCAAATATTCTAGTCATTTGAAGATCAGGCCAACAATCACTAAACTCCCTTATAGGGTTAATATGTAATAATTCAGTTAACCTCCTAATTCTCCAAATGCATTTGAGCCATAGAATATAGAAATATTCCATGTGGTGTAAGCCTATAAATAATATTGTCTAAAGTTTTGCTGCTATAAATACTGGAATAACTATGTATAAATCTGTAAGAAATTAACCTGAAAAATATTTTCCCATTATAGTTTGCTGACAAAAGACAGCCAATTTTAGCCCAGCATACCAATTACAAAAGAGATAGTTCTACTTGTAAGCAACCTAGAAGTGGTACAAGGTGCCAAGACCCATTTTTAATAGTGCTTTCTTGTCACAAAAAATGAGTTATACTTCCTTCTCTCTGGCTATTTCTTACAACTGTAATTGACATCTTCATTACAAATACCTTTTTTACATTTAGATGGTATTTTAAAGGAATATGTAAGGGTTGATTTCTTGCCTTTTCATCCCTTTGACCTTCCATCATTTTTCACATTTGTTGCATCATGAACAAAAGATTCATTTATATCCCTTAAATGATTGCTGCCTTTTGCTGGGCACAATACTACTGGTCAGGCTTTGTAGACAGACCTCTACTGTATTCAACACATAATAATTTCCAACTAGAAGCCTTATATATTGTTGTTTTGAAGTACGAATAAGAATGAATTTATATATATATATATATATACACATTTATATGCATCTACATATAAATATATATGTGCACATATATGTGGATATATGAATATATGTTTATTTGTGTTATGAATTTGAGAGCACAGATTGGTTCAGTCCTACTAATAGTCCTTTTTTATTTTCAGACTTCTAAAAAACACTGTGCAAAGCAACATGATGTAATGGCTTGGGTAGTGGTCTCAGAATTAGGAAGACTTGAGTTCAAATCCTGCTTCTGTTACCTATAGGCTCAGTGACCCTGGACCATGAATTCTCAATGCTTCAAGCAATTTTCTAAATCTCTAAGTGTCAAAGCAGTTGCTGATCTGAATTAGTAAGAAGAATTTCTGTCCTTTACTTGACTGTATAAGAGGTAGTAATTGTACTAGAGAGAACAAACATGAGTTTAAAAAATGAGATTAGAGCAAGTGTTCATTAGAGCATTGGAAGCAGCGCAGTTGTGACATCACTGAGAGTATGAGTTACAAGGTATATGAAAGAGGGTAAGATATCAAGTCATGGGGAAAATCTCAGGTTTCATTAGAACAAAAATAAAAACAACCATGAGATCAACGCTACAGACTCATGCCTATTTTTGAAAACACATACACAAACATACATACATACATACATACATAGATATATTTACATATATATGCATTTTTTATAAAAATCATCTATGGATGCATTGAGAATATCTTTAATGAGAGTATTAGTGAAGAATAGACAGGTGTTCACAAGCAAAATTCCATGGTGGATCATATCATTGTCATCCTACAATTGGTGTAGGTAAAGATGTAGAGAAAGTAAGATACAGCTATATTTATTGTTTGTTAGCTATGAACATGCACTTGATTAGTCAGACCCAACAGCAGGAATTCTTGACCTTTTTTGTGTGTGAAGATTCAGCAGTGTAGTAAGGCCAAAGGATACCTTCTCAGAGTAATGTTTTTAAATAATTGAAGAAAATGATTAATTTCATTTAGATATTAGTGAAAAAATATAAAGTTTTTTTTGTTCTGTTTCCCCATCCAAGTTCACAGAACCCCAGAGCCATGGATCCTAAATTATGAACCCCTATCTTAAAGGCTGTCTTCTAATAGGTTGTCTCCCATCCACAATCGAGGTCACTCAAAATTCTTGAAAAGATAAACCAGACATAACAGTGCCTAATAATCCTGTGATAATAAATGTTACACAAGGCATAAAACACAGAGACACCTGGTATGGTCAATAAAAGTATTTGCCACTATTATGGAGGTAATCTAGGTTGGAGTTTAAGTTTAAGGAGAATCCCTTTTGGAGGGAGAAGACCTCCAGAGACTCCCTCATTTGATGATACTATGTTGATTGCTTTAAGTCTTGGAACATGGAAGTGCCTCCTGGAAGAGATCCAGAACCATTCAAAAGAATTTTGCCTGATCCACACAGGAAAAAAAAAAAACCACAAGTGAATGAAAAATATCTATTTCCTAGATTATGACGTACTGTTGTATAAGCACCATATCTTTCCATCTGTATGTATCTATCTTTGTGTCACTGCACTCATATGCAAAGCTGGTTTTGAAGCTACTTCCTACACGCTTGGGACAGCC